CTCTATTTAACCTGACGCCTAATCGCTACAGTATGCGCTGCGACTCGTCCTTTGCCGCGTCTGCGCCTCTTTCCCTCGACGGGCCTCTTGGGGGACACCCATGCGTAATCACAATCGTTCTAGAATGCGCTGCGAATGTTGAGTGTCACCACGTTCTGCGGTCTTAGATATTCCACCGTAGCCTGAGTTTCAATGAGGTCCTTTTTACCACACCTCACTCTACGGGCTCTTCGCGAGCATTTGCCTCTTTTTCGGGTAACGCTATTTTTTCTATGGAATGGTCTTGTGGCCTCCTGAACAAGTATTTCAGTACTACAGCACTGCTCCATCACTGATACATGTCGCAACCGCGACCACAATTTGTGGCCTTTCCCAGAAGCTTCTCACAATCATCAATTTTCTGTTCAGGTACAAATATTAGAAATCTGTGAACTGCAAAGGAGACTTTTCTGTGAGGACGGTCATCTACCGAGTCCAAAACAGCTCGAAAGCACAGCACAGCTCGAAATGCTTCATCTTACCCGCCATTGGAATTTTTCTTGAGGGCACGTTTCACCGCCAACTCTCGGCCTTTGTGTGGGCCATCATCACAGATGCTAAAGATTTATGGGAAATGAAAAACGCAATAAAAACCTCTAACAGGGGTTTTGTGATTCGAAATCACAAATTATTCATTCATAGCACATTTAGCATTCGGAAAACGTGTTTTAAGCCAGCGTTGCGCTTTCAATTGTTATTTCATTGAAAATACGTTTTTCTCTCTTTCAGTGTATGTTACCATTGTCTATGACAGTCCACAAATCTATTTTATTAAAGGGTGCCTTTGACCGTGGACCTGTTCGTTCCAAAAGCACCCGTATAATAACAAAATGCAGGTAAACAGCATTTTCTATACACATCAAAACGGTAAGTGCTCGGAGTTGATCTCTAGCAATCGTTCAGCAGGTTTCGTTGAGAAGCGCTTTTGAGGTTCAGTTAGTCTACATGAGCTCTGGAAGTTAGTCGGTGTGTCGAGTTTGGATGTAGTTTGAAGCAGGGGTTTCAAAAAGGTTGACCTACGTCGAGAATTTCTCAACAAGCGCCATGTACAGCGCCATGTACGTATCACCTGTATCACCTGTCGTCCCGTTGATCGTCGATTTGCTCGAGCGGGCGCCAGCAACGTCTCCATTCGTCCCTGTCGCGTGCTAGAGTGGTCCAGTGGATCCTCCTCGCTCGAGGGACACGAAGCCTTCATTCCTTTCGTTCAGAGCTTTCGTGAAGAAGTCTGACCATCGGGCCGGCGGTCGTCCAGGTGTTCGTTTGACGTCCCGAGGGATCCAGTCGGTAACCGCTCTGGTCCAACGGTCATCGCAAAATCGCATGACGTGTCCGGCCCACCTTATCTTCGATATCGCAAGATACGGGAAGTAATCCTAGGATGGGCAGAAACTCCAGAAAAAAATGGAAATTGTTTACGCACTCTGGGGTCTCTCCTCCACCGATAGAGGCTTAGTCCTGTTTTTGCTCTAATGGATATGTTTTACGCGCTTCAAATACATTGGCATCTAATGTCCCCGTATTTTGCGATAGTATTGGAGATGTGCTGGGTTTTCTGGGTAGCTAGGGTCGTATTGGATCGAACTGTGTATCTATGTGAACAGAGTAAATATGTTCGTAAAAAGGAGTGACGTTTAGTAAGTATGCCTGTTTGGGTTGAGATTCCTCGGATGAATTATTTATAAAAAAATTTCTTAATATTGTGCTGTCCCGGAGCCTCATCAGCACCTAAATATTGTATAACACAGAGAGGCACCAAAATTTTATTTCAAAAGAATTCCAAAAGTTCACAAAATTCAAAAATTCCAAAAATTCAAAAGTTCCAAAAAGCAAAAAACTGAAAAAGAATTCCTTTGAAATCTTCCGCGATATTTCGGTGTAACACCTTCTTCAGGCATGTGTTTGCCACAGCCAAGTATAAAGCTGCCCTCACAGGAGCCGCGCCGTTGCAGTGAAAAGGAAATCTATTCACTCCAGCTTTTTTTCTGTTTTTGTTTTCCAACTCAAAAAAGGTGCGATACACCGGAATATCGCGGAAGATTCCGACGGAAATTCTTTTCAAACTGTTCCTTGCTTTTTTTGAACTTTTGAATTTTTTGGAACATTAAAATTTTGTGAACTTTTGAAATTCGTTTGAAATAAAATTTTGGTGCCTCTTTCTGTTATGAAGCTGTAGGTGGGAGGGTGGTCTGTAAAAGAGAAGGAAAGCAAACGAAACCACCGATTACGCCCCGTACAGAGACCTCCCCTATTTCAGCCACATTCCACCTTGGGATAGAGAAGAGGCGAATTGGACGAGTTTCACGAACCTAACTCTACTTGCTCCAGTGTCAATAACATTGGATCGCGCTGGGACCACTGCCTCAAATGCGCCCGCGCTTTTCAAGCAGCGCCACGTGGCAACCGACAGCGAAGGGTGGGGCTTGCGGACGAAGGTGTGAGTTGCGGGTTGGACGAGCTTGCGCCTTTGTCGCGCGTACTTTCAAGCGGCAAAAGGGGCGACATCACACTTGTCGTCTGATCGGGATGGTGGAACAAGCAAGTGGCTTCAACTGAGACATCAAAAAAGATAATGAATCACGGTACCTCTGCTTAATCAGTAAGAGCATACGAAACACATTATGCTTTCTTTCACGAAAATACGAGTTAAGTACAAAAAATATCGACCGAACTTGGAAGCTTGCAGGTGAGGGTTCACCGTCAGAAATAAATATTATACACCATTGTTCAGGTCGACTTACGGGTCATCACCTGCTGCGCAGTTCTCTTCTATAGTTTCGCAAGAGCGCAGATTTCTGATGATGGTAATTTTTAAATTTCAGAAGCATAAAAATCACTCAAAACAATTTCACGTTCAGAATGCGCCGCCTACCACGAGCTCCATTCAGCTAGTGACTATGAGACATTTTTCGAAGATTGTGCCGGCAAAGAGGTTCTTGGATTCGAGGAAGGTGTCTCGAATAAGTTTCGCGCCCGGCATATGACCGAGCAAATGTTTAACAAGGTGTTTGTGAACGCACGCATAATCAAGTTCCATATTTTCGTGCAGAACAGCGAATTTGAACACCTGGCACTTCCAAATTTAGAAGAACTCTCTGGTCAGTCACGATTTTTAAGCTACTCTTTAGCATCGCTCATCAGATTGTTTTTAGGTTTAACAGTCCGTAACAATGAGCGACTGAAGTCGTTTCGAATCCGACGCAGATTGCAACTCGACCGTAAGAACGACCCACCGACTACCATAACCGTGGATGGGAATCGGCTACTAGACGCAGAAAGCATGGCTGACCTGCGCCATCTTTGCCCGTACTGCGACATCTTCGAATGGACGAGTGAGCCTTTTCTTTTCGAGAGAGTGCTGTGAAAAAGACTCTTGAAATTGTGCGAACTTCACATTCGAGGGTACTCGCACTCAGCGGTGCGTCCTCTCCGGGCTACGCCGTGCGATTGACTATTTTTCAAAATCACAGAGATCGGTAGACGAATGTTACCACGAAAGATGTTGATTTATAGACAGAGAAATTAGTGCCAATCTGGACCTGATCAAAGCGCCACCCGTTCCGAACAGTTATTGTAACGCAGATTACGGTAAAACCACATTTTACGCAACAAAAAAATCAAAAACTATTCATTTACTAGCACGTTAGTTGTGGAAATCTAGCCCTGGAATAGAGTGTGGAGAAAATAGCACTTTTTTGAACCTCTTGAGACTGACCTCGTGCCATATAGCCGACCTGAAGAGAGTAGAGGTTCATCTGATGGTACCGGATCCGATCTTGAGAGTTTCAATTTAATACTGATCTGTCTGATATTTCAGAATGCAGTGCTCTGGAGGCGGTCTCGCCTGAAGACTATGGTCAGCTTGTTCAAAAGTGCCAAGGAGAAAAGATTATCAAATCAAAACCACGCAGTCAATTGTTCCTGGATTTGAGCAAGATGTCACAGGAGCAATTTCAAATGCTATTCTCTGAAGCAACGCATGTTCAAATGTGCATTACGGTGAAAGATGTTTTGTGGCCTGAAGTGGTGTTCCCAAAACTCGTACGGCTGATACCATGTGGGCCAGGTATCTATTGCTGTCTATTTTCTTTCTAGGCTACAGTATTCATAGAGCTTTGAAACCGACCTACCAATGAGCTGTGAGAAATTTGGAGTCAGTGCGATTCCTATCCCTGGCTGGGCACATGACAATCATCTTGCCTTCCCCAGCCTGCAGCCCTAGTGAAGGTCTGGGTGATCCAATATCTACATAGTTCACCAATGAAATCCATAATAGATTCTTTTCCGGGAAAGTTTTTGTTAGAAAAAGTCTCTATGCATGTTTTCTGAAAAGCACAAAACCATTCCATTTGAATATAAACTCCCTCCAGAATTCTCAGATTAGACCCCCTTGTGGGAAGCCACCGTCCGGTTGACCTTGTGAGCAGCGAAGCATCAGGGTACTTTATTAGGACGGTAAAGTAAAACGAAAAAAGAGGACAAGCTTTTCAGGTGATCGGTCTCTGAAAGTTGTGCACAACGCGAACTTGAAGCAGCTTAGCTTCCCAGCCTACAATTCGGAAGGCTTCGGTCGCCTGAACTCTATGATCAACGTCGAGCTACGGAACAATTTCGTTCTACCAGAGCCAATTTTGATGTCCATGAAACGATACTGTCGTTTCTGCACTATTCAAGTATACAAAGGTAGGACCATCACCTCTTTTTCTGCAATTTTTAGCAACTATGACCGGGGAAAACCAGGCTTCACTTCTTCATAAGCTTTGCAAACATGGAGCCCAGCGTATCCAAAAAAAATCATTTCCACGAATGCGACCGAATCTCTAGCGCGGCAAACTCGAAACGCTAGCAAAATTCGTCGAGTTGTTGTGTGCGAAACGAGGATATGGAAACCTCGAGACGTCGCTTTTCGGCTGGATATCTCGCGACTGAGGCAGGACCTCTCGAATTGAACTGTTCAGGATTTCACTACAATCAAAATGATGCATACTTGCGAGCATCACAAATTAACGCTCATTGATGCCTTTTTGAAGGAGCTGCACACTTGCGACAACAAGGCAGCGGCAACATTCGAGGTAGCTGTAAAATACGAAGAATTCGCAGACCACGCTATGTTTCAGGTCGCCCGCGTTCCTTATCGAGGCACGATTGACTCTGAGACGATCAAAGTATCGGAGGCTTTCAAATGGGAAGTCAGCGAGGAATCTTTCCACATGGTCTTCAATCCACAGCTCAGAATTTACCCGAACCTCGACCAATGCAAGTACTGCGTCTTTGAGCAAGAAACAAGTACGTTGATACCGCTGATTGATACTATACGTCGTTCATACTTCGAAGTTCCTACAAAAAGAGGCAGCCAATTAAGCGGTGCCGAAGATGGTGTAGCTAACCGTCAAATAGAACCCGCAGCATTATGAGTTGAAAGAGTTGTCAGCGTGCGATGTAGTAGTGCAATGGAAACTCTGTTAAAGGAAGCAGTCACGATAATTTTCATGGCAGCGATAAGGAAAGCTGTGTATTGGAGTGGATAGAGGTCCTGCCCAATGTTAAACGTGAAGTTTCAGTGGCAGTGGCGCCTTATCAACGGAGTGATAAGGAGCCGAAATTCACTTCAAGTTCAGCAAAAACCAAGACTTATCGATGTGGAAAGGGGTGCGATAAGAGCGTGCTAGATATGATACCGTTATCGTTATCGTCCCGTTTTCATTCTGGAGTGCACCTCTTATCAAGCAGCCGCACCTTCTTATCTCATCGTATCATATCTTCCATGGGCTTACACTCGTCCAACAATTACTGCCTCACACCTTATCGATTGATAACGCGAGGGATAGCAAATCCAGCGTGGAAGCCAGCGTGACTGCTTCCTTTAATGCGTGCGAAATCGCTAGGCAGCGCGCCGACTCTCGAGCTCGGCACGTTCTTGGCGCGTCGGGCCTCGGGGGGGGGGGCGGTATCCGACCGTATCAGATTACCGCATCTACTTCCCTTTCCGGATGTGATAACCGACGTCTAAACAATCGCAAAAAGGGATTTTGAAAAGACTTTCAACAAGACTTTTCAGCGAAAAGGCACTGGGTTCCGAACCTTAACACAGTCTCAGGAAGTTCCATCTAATCGCCATGGTATTTCATAACTTCGAGTCATAGAGGTGTCAGATATGGACCTAGGTGATTACACGTCAGCCGTACGCTCGTAGAGGCATTTACTTTTTGTAACAAATTTGTTCTTATTTCTTCTTCTTTCTTCTGGTCTGGGCTGTCTTCTTCTCCTAGCCGTTAGTCGCGCGTCCAGGGTCGCTTCTTTAGCAGACGTCGTTGTCAAATTGGTCTGTCAAATTTGTTTCTTTCTTATATTTATTTAGTTATATGCACGGCTAAAGTGTGCGCTTACTTATCACATGTGAGCACAAGAAAATCAGGGCGATCGGCCAGCTAGGCAGCGCTAAAGATAATAAGGAGATTCTTCAGGACGAAATCATCAAAAGCCGAAATTGCAGCAAATGCAATCAGATGGACTGTAGGCCCAGTTGAAGTTGTACTCGAATAGAAATATGGAGCCAATTCAGCAACCCTAAGGGATTTTAGAGTCTTTGAGCTTTTTAACGCTGTACTATTTCCGTCCAGCTGGAGCTAACTTGCAACAGAGAAGTCGCTCCCTCAGAGGCACGCCCCAGGATCAAATTGGTGTGGTTTTTTGCATAAGAAGGAAAGCACTGTTTCGAGCTGGACCGGCAGTAAAGAAAAAGAAAAATGCATCTGAAACGCTGAACTTAGGAGCTTGCTCGTTCTTGTGCCAAGGCAACAAAAGAGTGAGCACGTAAAGAGAGGATAGGCGATGGAGCACAACGGGTGAGAGACGGCACGCAACAGTATGCCGCGGACGGGAAGAACTGAAGCGATTGTTGCGATATTGCCAAAACTCTACCGCCCTTAATTCGCGCCTGAGAGCTGGAAGAGCGGGACATCTGCGACATTCGTTCACAGCTTGAATTACCACAAGAAGGGGTTATTCGCCTGAATTCGTTTTATGCTTTGCTTTTCAGGTTGGTAACTCATTTACGCGATTTTTCAGAATGCGGAGCTGTAGGCCGATCCCTAACCTATCCATCAGTGTCACAGGTGTTGGAGATTTGCCCTGGAAAGCGAAAAATCATTTTCCAAGACCAGATCGCCGTCAACCAGGATCAATTCAGCCAATTGTGTTCCCAGGCACTCTACTTGGAGATGTGCTTCAATATCACCGAAACTGACTACATAACTTTGAACTGTCCAAAACTGCGAGCAATAAGATCCTGCACGCGAGGTAAGTAACTTGTACGTAGTAGGTGTGTGCCTGTTTTTTTGGTTGAGACTTCCAAAAAAAATCCCTCTACGAAGCCTTGATTTATGAAATTTACCTAAGAGATGAGCAAAAAGTAGGCAATGGGTC